TTCTGTCTGGACTCCCTGTTGCAAGACTTTGTGGGATGGATGGTCCTGGGGCGGATGCAATTTTGCCCGGAGATCGTACGTTGTAGTTTGTGATGAGAGTGCAGGCCTTAGGATTCTGGAAACGCTCTTGATGCTGCAAGTCTTTTGGCAGATGCTTAACACATAGCTGATAGGTTGCCTGGACGTACTTTGTGCATGTGCATGTGCCACACGATGACATCTGACTCCTTCGGACAGAGAGGTCATCTCCAGGCCCGAGTCTGGTGGATTGACACATTCGGCGAGGCGGGCCAAGAGAGTGTTGATGAGCTCATATGTCATGCAGGGAAGACTGTAGGCTGATGCCTGTTGGTTCCAAGATTTGAAGTCATGAATGCCGGACGGGATCGGACGGGCGTGAGTAGCTGCAGTCCCGCAGTCCGGCCACATGTCAGGAAGCAAGGGCAATGGGTTCAATAGGTCCTGTCGGCGTCTTCGCCTGGGTGTGTCGAAGAACAGGTGGGCAGCTAACCGAACAAGGCAGCCTTGTATTTGGATGCGTAGCTTCTGCAAGAAAGGCAACCCTGGATTTGGACTTGATTGTTTCCCCTGGTAAAGATTTTTCCAGATCACGTGGGCGGAAACAAGTTGAGTCACGCCGGGCCTGCCCACCGAAGATTTGGCTAAGAAACCACAATTTCTGGGCGGGCCCTGCAAGTGGGCGGCAGGTGGGACGGGCTTTACGCGCTGTTCTTCTGACAGGAGGGTTTTCGTAGGGGGAAGCTGTGGGTTTTTTTTCCACAGCTTCGGCAGGCGGCCCCGCAGGTGAGGATCGCCGGGCTTTCTTCTGGTAGGAGGGCCTCGCAAAGGGGAAGTTGTGGATCAATAAACGATTGAGCAACCAACCAATGAATGCTCAACTATCGGCTCGGGGGTGGCTACGAAACAGACGCGTGTATCAACGAAGCTTGTCAGATTACGCAACCCAGAAGCTTTGGTTGTGGCGATGGCAATGCTCTAGGGGTGAGGTAGGTGAGGTTGGGTCAGTTTAGGTCAGGTTGCTTGATGCTGTGTTTTCTGTGTTTTCAGAAAGTACATCAGGTTAGGTCAGGTTAGGTCGGATTAAGCTACGTTGGGTTTTATGTTGCCCAGCCCTGTTTGGGTCACCTGCTACCAATTCAAGGTCAGGTTAGGTCGGGTTAGGCTACGATGGGCTTCTGGTTTAGGGATGTCATGTTGGTCAGCCCTCTTTGGGTCACCCATCCCAGACACTCGCAGTGGAGGAGCCTTGGCAAGCGAAACCATTGTATCTGCTGCGAAAGGAAGGTGGAAGTACATTTTGGTTACCCAACCTACCTGTCTTGGCTTTGGTTTCCCAACCTACATGTCTTAGTTGGGCAAACCAGTTGTTTTGTTGCACGTGCTTTTTTTTGGTGGTTCTGGTAGCGTTATTGGGTGCACTTCCTGTCCTAATGGTTGTATGCGATCATTGTGTTTGCAAATGGGGGGGACCCCCCCCGCTCCTTTTAGACGCACAAGGCTTTGAAAGAACATTTTGTCTGAAACAAATCATGCGAGCATCGTGTTTGCAAATGGGGGAGGGGGGGGGGGTGTAAACTTGCTGCTATTTGCCGTCTTTGCAACCTTTGAAAACGCAGCAATGCTGCTATTTGTACAGTATTTACATTATCTGCAGCTTCTGACAACGCAGAAATGCTGCTATTAACAGTATTTGCAGGCTCTGGCAACGCGCAGATGCTGCTATTTGCAACACTCAGAAATGCCGCTTATGCCTGCCGAGATCAAACCCTCAACTGTGCAGCCTCTCCAAACTCGGAAATCCTGCTAGTTGCCATCTTTGCAGCCTCTGAAAAATGCAGAAAGACTGCTATGTACGGTATTTGCTGCCTCTGCAAACTCGGAAATTCTGCTAGTTACAGTATTTGCGACCTGTGGACACGCACAAATGCTGACTTTACAGTAATTGCAGCCACTGACAACGCAGAAATGGCAACGCACAAATGCTGCTATTTACAGTATTTGCAGCCTCTGCAAACGCAGAAATGCTGCAATTTACAGTGTTCGCAGCCCCGAACCAAGAACCAAGGCCGAGCCACACCTTTGCAAGGAAACATGGCCGAGCCACACCTTTGCAAAAAAAAACCCTTCCGCCGGCTTGAACCCTCAATGGCTGAGGGCTCGTTCCATTCCAGCCCGATGGGAGCAGCGGCGGCAAGGAGGACTTCGGGAAGATTCGAGGGATTGTTCCCTGCCCTCGGCATGGGGATGTTGCATGTTTAAGTTTACGTCAGCTTGTCTCCTCGCCTAGGGTTTAGGGTTTAGGGTTTAGGGTTTAGGGTTTAGGGTTTAGGGTTTAGGGTTTAGGGTTTAGGGTTTAGGGTTTAGGGTTTAGGGTTTAGGGTTTAGGGTTCCAGTGCGCTGCCCCTGAGAATTAGGCAAAGAATCTAGCACAGAATCCCGCACAGCATTCCTGCAGTGCCCACTCCTTTAGAGAATCCCGACAAGGAAGCTGGCTTGAGCCTCAGCCCCCAGACAATACCGCAGACCTCTCCACTTCATGGCGGGTCACAGTTGAATCAGAGGGCCGGGGGGGGGGGGGGGGGGGGCGGCCTATAGCCCTAAACCCCTAAACCCTAAACCCTAAACCCTAAACCCTAAACCCTAAACCCTAAACCCTAAACCCTAAACCCTAAACCCTAAACCCTAAACCCTAAACCCTAAACCCTAAACCCTATTGGAGGACATCTTGGCAAAGGTGCAGAGCAAGGACTGCGCTAGTATCTTTAGCCGAGACCTGAAAGATAATAACTTTGTGGGTTTAGGGTTTAGGGTTTAGGGTTTATAGAAATTGTATAGGGTTTGGGTCCCAATAACGTTTGGAGCGAAAGTTTTGACCGAAACGTTTTGACCGAAACGTTTTGTTTTTTGGAACCACGTTTTCATATTTGGGGCGGGTGGGTGGGAAGGGCTGGGGCTGGGGCTGGGGCTGGGGCTGGGGCTGGGGGGCTGGGGCTGGGGCTGGGGCTGGGGCTGGGGCTGGGGGCGGCTGGGGGCTGGGGGAGGTTGGGGGCGACTAGGGCTGGGGCGGCTGGGGCGGCTGGGGCGGCTGGGGCTGGGGCGGGGGGCTGGGGCTGTTGGGGGGGGCTGCTGGGGCGGGGCGGCTGGGGCTGCTGGGGCTGGGGCTGCTGGGGCTGGGGCTGCTGGGGCTGGGGCTGCTGGGGGTGGGGCTGGGGCTGGGCTGGGGTTGGGGCTGGTGGGGCTGGGGGTGGTGGGGGCTGTGGGGGCTGGGGCTGTGGGGGCTGGGGCTGAACTGGCGCTAGCACTAAATGGGGCTGGGGGCTGGGATGGGGCTGGCAGTGAAACTGCTAAACTGTCAAATTTTGGGTTTTGGGGCAATTTGGGGTTTTGGAAGTCAATTTTGGGCTTGGGGAGGTGATTTGGGAAGGCCCCACAGGTTTAAGTAAATTGAACATTTGGCCTCCCGGCCTCCCGCTTTGGATTAATTTACTTAAACTCTGTTTGTCAGCTGTTTAGACAAATATCTTTGAAAATTCAGATTGGTACCACATACAATTTCTATTTATTTTGTCTTGAGGGTTTAGGGTTTAGGGTTTAGGGTTTAGAGTTTAGGGTTTAGGGTTTAGGGTTTAGGGTTTAGGGTTTAGGGGAACATGTTTAAGGGCACTTAAGCTCAATAAGGAATGTAGTGGAGGAGCATTTTTAAGGGTACTTAAGCTCAACAAGGAATAGAAAATCCGATTTTTTATACCATCCCAACCATGATCTAGGTAAGGCCCGACCCAGTTTCCTGGGCCGAACCCAGCCGCCCTCCATGCGGCTCAGGCAAAGGTATTCCAGAAGCCTAAACTTCACCTCCGAACCCTAAAGCCCTAAAGCCCAGAGCCTAAACCCTATCCCCTTCTTTCTTCCTTCTCAACCTTTCGCCCCACCCCACCCCGCCGACATCGCGCGTTCTCTGTGCGTGCGTGTGTGTGACTTCCAGTGTGGGTGGCGTTCAAGGCCGAGCTCCAGTTCAGTGTGCGTGTCGGGCTTTTGAGGGCTTAGGGCTTTATACTTGGTAGCCCAGTGGTAGCCCAAAGCCTTTTTTGGTTCAAGGTTCCTGTTTAAAGTGACCAATCGACAAAAGGGTACCCTTATTCTGCTACGGTTACTGGGCTACCAAGTATAGGGTGCGTTCACGAGCTGATGCAGAAGTCTGTTGTTCAAGTGTTGGCAAAGCGAACACTCCTTCCACACATCCTCGTGCCTGGGTCCTCCCTCAACCCGCAGACGGCTTGGCTCATGGCAGTTGGGATGGCGTGGGTGATATCAGACAGGCTATACATCTTGGGTTCTTTAGGAGTTTGGGCCCTGCTCTCGTGGGGTGCGCACACCCAATCCTAAGACTCAAGCCTAACTCCCAAGGTTGAGATATCCTGAAAGCGATACCTCGCGAATCCCGGCAACTTTGAGCCTACACTTACTTAACGGCTTAGATGGGGTCTCGTGGTTTTGAAGCCAGGACAGGGAGATTGCGAGATTGCGCGCGGAGCTGCTTGAGCTACAGGGCCGCCCCCAACAGTGAGCACCGCCGTTTGGCTACTTTACGCTGACTGCGCCGTGAGACAAGGTGCACGGGGGTATAAGTATAAGATTGTTGAACGAGTCCATCTCAGCCTGCCTTAAGGTCCAGCTGTTCCAAATGCTAAAGTCCCAAGTATTTGAATCCTCAAGCCCTGAAGCTTAGAATGAGGCGAATCTCAACACGCTGGATTTGCGGGTCGGTGGCTTCAGGTTGCAGTTGTGACTTGAGGACGAGTTCGGCGAGGTAATCTGGGCTCTTCAAAAGGTTCCCCGACACGCTTCTCTGGGTTTAGGGTGCAAACGAAATGGGCTCATTGACGAACCTTTCTACATGAGCTCAGCCCGGCGCGCGATCCAAGGCTCTGATGCCCGGATAGCAGCTTCAGATAGCACAAATAGCCAGTGTCGCCCTGGCTATGCCCACAATGCTGGCTCTCCGGCTTGCCCTGGAATGGATTCTTCTCACCAAGAGTCTATATCCCCCTTGGGAATTATCTTTATTTTTTGTTTATATTAAACCCAAGAGGATATTTAAAATAGTATTTTTATTAAGGTTCAAAGGGGAGTAAAGGAGTGGGTGGGCCCAGATCCTTCCATGCGCCTGCCATGATGGTGACCCGGAGCTTTGCGAACAGCTTTGCTTGGACTTATATGATGGAACGATGATGGAGGTTTTGAACGGCCTTGTAAATTCGATCGGCTCCAAGATGATTGATTGCAGGTCACCTTTAGGCGACTGCTGCATACCGGATGTCCCATGTATGCCGACGACATCGACAGGTGCTGCGACAACTGCAGCGACAGCAAGTTCAGAGCAAGAGTATTGCGATCATCTCTACTCGAATGCAGCTTGTGCGGCGGCTTGTGGCGTGGAAGTTAACTCGACGGAGTACACTTACATGACAATAGACAACTCGAAGTTCATCAGACCTCGTCCGAATGAGAAGAGGTGCTTTCTAGTTGTTGATGAAGATCCACTCAATGCAAGCACGCAGTCCTGCTGCAACTCATCAGATCCTCCAGATGATGTCTCATCCAGTCTTGTTTTGACACTTCGAGCGGCAACGTCTCTGACGGCACTCACATTGTTAATTGGTTGACGCATATAGTTGTACATGCTGGAGCCAACTAGAAACGTCTCCACGTGCACCAGCGTGCTGTGCTGATTTGTGGTTGGAGTCTTGAGCAGTGGTCGAGAGCATCAATACACATAGGTTACCCTACGGATTGGTTTCCAGAAGATAGAAAACACAACGGCTCAGCCTTTGAGACGAAGGGGCTCTTTTGACTGCACTGGAGAACTGGTACTGCTGCTGCAGAAGAAAGAGGCCTTTATTGATTAAATTATCCCCCCCCCCCCCTCCCTGAGTCCCTACGACCGGATGTCCCCCCAAGAATCTCCTAAAGATTGAAACCCTAAACACCAAACCCTAAATTTTAGGCTTAGGATCCTCCAAGTTTTTGAACCCTCAGAGGCCACAGGCCATAAGACCCGACAGGCTGTGTGCTGTTCCCAAGGGTTTAGGGTTTAGGGTTTAGTTAGGGTATAGGGTTTAGGGTTTAGGGTTTAGGGTTTAGGGTTTAGGGTTTAGGGTTTAGGGTTTAGGGTTTAGGGTTTAGGGTTTATAGAAATTGTATAGGGTTCAGGTCCGGGCTTTATATGGTTTGCTTCTGGCAAGAGGACAGGAGGGAATTGCAGCATGTTTTCGCCACGTCTTCGGCAGGCGGGTCCCGCAGTGGGGCACTTCTTCTGGCGTTGCGGCCTTTGTTTCCATGTCGTCGGCAGGCGGGCCCAGGAGGGCGGAAGCGCTGGCTCTTTGTCCCTGTTTTCACATTGTCGGGGGGCCCGCAGGTGGGAAAATGAGTCTGATGTAGCTTCTATATGTTTTGATTTCTAAAGTACCAAATAATACGTACGGGCAAGTAACTTAATAGGCGCCTAATGGTTGTACTATTACTCTGTACAGAGAATGGAATAGTCAGGCAGAAGACGCCTGCAAAAAACGGTTGATAAAAAGAGTAGAAAGACAAATAACCCTAAGATTTCAGGAAAATGCAAGTAGCTTGAGAAACGTTTTGGTGTGATGGCGCCCAAGCTTTTTCGCTCATCGGCTTCAGCTCCTGAAGAATCACGAGCCCATCCCGTGTAATAATGTGGTATATGCTTTTACTCATAGACCTATTCATACAAGAAAATACCAACGTAAACATATGATTTAGTATTCTTCGTTGTGACATCTGAGTTGCACCGGAGGCATCATCCGGCTCGGCTTGGGCCTTGGGCGAGTACTGGAAGGCCCCTCTGCGACGTTTCACGTGTCGAGCGTTCACTGGTAGGCGACGGGCTGGGGTCTGTTGAGGGTTGCGGGGAAAAGGCTTGGAGGTGTCTCGACAGAGCGCACAGCTATGCTTGCTCCCCATTTCCTGCCCTTGCACTCCTTCGCGGAACATTGCAACAAGGTGTGGACCATAAACCCAAGGGCCATCCAAAAATGCACCTCAATAATGAGGCCTTCGAGTCCATGGCTATGTTGGCTGGTGCAAAGGGGGCTTCAAAGTCCAGGTACTGTTGGGATAGCAGTTCTGCTGCTGACTTTGAGGTGTGGCTGAAATAGCCCTGTTTAAGGTAAGCCTAGAAGCCATGATCTATGAGGCCTTTGGGGCGAGTGGATGTCTAGGGAAAGTACTCCAGGTCCATGCTTATAAGCGTCCAAGCACCCAAACTCATCATTCGCGAAGCCAGTGCCAGTCTTTGTTGTCTATCTCCTCCTCTGCTGCAGACTTCTCCGTTCAACAGCCCGCGCGGGTGACGCCCGCACCTCCGACGCGAAGCTTGGGGTTGGTGGAAAGAAGTTTGCTGATGTGCCTCTCGCGGCCTTGGTGTGTTTGATCCGTTGGTGTGGTGGGAGATGCCTTGGCACTTGCACGCTTCATCCAGCAGCTGTCTCATCAAGCACACGAGACCGTGTACCCTGTTGTTGACTTGCCAGTCAGCGGCTGAGCTTCTTTTTATGGCATGTCAACAGGTGAGCGAATTCTGGGACATTCTACAGCCTTTGTTCGAGAAAGCTTCCGAGGACTCACGTCAAGGATGCATCGTGGGGCAGGACTTTCAGAGAGAGTCCACGGCATGCCTCGGAGCCTGTTGGTCGCGAGGCCTTTTCTCCTTGTAACAGTTCCCGTTTGTGGCCCTGAAAGGAAATCCGGTGTTGTTGGGCAGAGGCACGCCGTCCTGAAAGCGCGGGACTATCGGAGAATGTGGCGTTGTCGTTTACAGTTGTTGGTTTTCCGCAGCCACAGATGCCCAAACATACTCAGTGTTTCTGTGCCGTGCTTGCGACTTTTTGCGAGTGGCATACCCTCATGTCTCATGGATTTAGCAACTAGCTGCCGCTAACATGGGATGTCATGTGATCTCAACAACAGCATGGGGGTACTCCTGGGACGTCTTTGCCGCTGCCGGCAATGTCGCTGCCCAAGCGGACGAGGCCTGACCTCGAGGAGCGGGAGCCGCATAATGCAGTGAACGATTTTGTTCAGCGGACCTTGCCTCAGTTTTGACTAGGCGGAGCTGCGATGCACCTGTTCGTTTGGGTCATGTGAGATAGCTGTGCGAAAGGAAATGTGGCGACGTGAGCTGGGAGAAGGAGGAGTGGACGATCAATGGGAAAATCTGGTTGAAAGCCATTTTGCTCGTCAGCTTGGCGTAGCCATGTGGCGAGACGTTGCCAAAGCGCTTCGAAGGCTCTTGGTGTCGCACGCTCCGCGACTCCAAGTATCAGGCTGCAGCCGCTTTCAAGGAAGACAAGGATGTTCGGAGATCTTGGTACGCAGCCGAAGTGAGCGGAAGGGATGCAATTCATGAGAAGTTCATGAAACGACAGCGTCGAGTGCCTACGACGCAAGGCTTGGAAGGACAGCTTCCTCTTTGAACGTGTTCTCCTGACTGACACCTTTGCGCCTCCAAGACAGGCGTGACGTCTAGCGGTGATCATGTGCTGCAGTGCCATGGAAAAAGGCGTCCGTGCTGCCGTGCTGCATGTCTTCAGCCAAGATGTGTAATTATGTCCTTTGCGCAGCTGCCATGCAAGTCATGTTTGACGCAGTATGGGATGTGCGCGCGCAGGTCGCGCAGGTTGCCCGGCTCGCGATGGGGTGCCCTCCTTGGCGTTCGAGCACTGTCTCTGCTCTCGTGGAGCAGTTGCAGTGCTTACGCCCTAAAGATCCCTAAAGGTCTTGCAGACACAAACCGAGAACGCACCAAACCTTGTTCAACCCGTTCCAGACCATGTAAGCCAGACTCCATTGGCAGATCACGCGCCGCGACGGAGCATGGAGACTCTTGCTTTGGGGCCCCGCCAAACAATGCAGCCAAACAGTGCATGTGGAGTCTCCGACGGCAACACTCTCCGAGAACAGAAGGTATTGCACATCAGCTCTTTTTTGTGCTTCCTTTTTCGGGGAGAAGAATTTTCGATGCTCATTGATGTTGACAGGCACAGCTTAGTTTCCAAAATTTCGCGGTGTTGCTTGCACTCTTCTTGGGCTGAAGTCTGCTTGAGCATGTCTTGCAAGTGCTGCGGCCGCCCGGAGAGTTGAGCCTGACAGAGTCTTAGACAGAGTGTAACGACCAGAAGAATGATTCCAGGCGACAAGATGGCGTCGTTGGTGACAAAAACACCAAAGGCCCGTGATGTGGCTCCGACCGGCAAGCATGCAGACTTACGTTCGGAGTACGTCGAGTTAACAATGTGCCACACATTGTAGCAAGTCCTTGTTGGACTGCGGCAGGAAAGCACCATCGATCAATTCATGGAGCTCTTCCTGACCTTCAAGATGGTGGGCGGCCAAGGGTTGCAATTATCTACCCAACGCGGACGGTAGGCTGCTGGGGTGTCGTGGGCTCCGGCAGTGACGGTGGCTGTTCAGGCCTCAACAGCTAGAGAGACGAACCGTTGCATATTTGAGGCCCAAGACGACATCGCCAAGTCTTGCCCTGCTGGCTACCGCGTCATGATCGATGCTTTGGCCTGAGTGACCTTCGTCTAGTTGCTGGTGCAAGCCCCTCTTTTGAAGATTGCGCAGCTTTCCCAACTGCAGGAAGAGCGCATTGTCGTGAAGGTTGCCCACCTGAACCGGCACGAAGTGGCCGACTGGTGGGCCTGGCGCTAACACCCATGACAAGCCTTGACCTCCTGCGCCCCTAGACCCAAAACCGTAACTCTGAACCCTCAACACTAAACCCCCAACCCCCCCAAAACTCTAAACCCTAAACATTCAACCCTGAACCAAACCACGCAGATCATAAGCTCGGGACGTCAAGCCTGATGCACTGGGGCAGCGAAGGGAGCGAGCGAGGATGATCAGCACTGCAGGGGCGGGAGTAGTGTTTCCAGGGCTGATTGTATTCAGGGCTTTGGGCTAAGGTTTCAGGGTCTATACTGTAAGGCTTAGCGTTTCACCAGCGACTGCTAGTGCTACTGTTGCTGTCGCTGCTACTGTTGTTGTTTCGTTAATGTTGTAGTGGTCTTGCTTTGCTAGTGTTTGCTACTTGCTGTTAATGCCATAGCGCTTGTTGTTTTTTTGCTTGCCTGCCGACTTCTGATAGGTGTGCCCATCCGGTACCGTCTTAGTTGTTCGCTGGTCATCTCCCTCTTATGGCTACCAGCGTGGTTGGGATAACAGTTGCTGCCATCATTCTAACAGTTGTTGCCATCAGTCTTCCATTTGTTCCCATGACGCAGGGGGGGGGTTCCAATTTTCGGATTTGTGCACGTCGTCCCCAAGTCTGCTGGCCCAAAAGCCCAGAACCTAAATGCTCAGCCTTGGCTACTTCTGCAGGGCCCTGACCCCTAAACGCTAAACCCTAAACCCTAAAACCTAGTGAGAGGGAATCCCTTTCGCAGCCGGATGAGGTTTCACTGTTCAATGACGGGCCCCTGCAACCTGCCAGCTGGTCTGCCCGAAGAGTACAAAGCATTTTATCATGGGATGTTAGTTTTTCTATCTAAGTAGGAATTGTGATTAAGGTGTTTGGTAAGTATATACTTGTAGTTCGGAACTTGGACCCTTAGGGCAGACTATAATCCCTGAGGGCTGC